GGGACTGGGATCATCCTGTCTTTCCTGACATCCAGAGAGTAAGGGGGTCCATTTTTGTGCAGGGAGCCTGCAACTTAGGTACCCTGATTTCTTTCCAAGAGGCCGTGCTTTACACTGCGGCCCTGAGCAGCCCCATGCTGACCACCACTCTGACCACATCGAGCTTTCCCTCCATGCTCTTCTTCTCACTCCTTTGACAAGCCTCTCCATTACTGTCTCCCTCTTTTTCTTCTCCTGTGTCTTGTGTTCTCCCACTTGGCCAGACTCAAAACAATGCCTATGAAAGAAACTCCTATGACTTCCTTGTTAGCTGTACAGAAAACGCATCAGCATTGCAAAGGACAGTCTCAGACTTGCTAATGTCCAACTTGCAAAGGGTCCTGCCTAACATCGGCCAGGCAGGTCAGAGCACAGTCCTCTTTCCTAGGGCGGCTGGGGTTTCCCTTCCCACCATCTGGGCCAGCCCCTAACTGAGGAGCTGTAGGCAAAGTCTCCAAGTACCCAGTACAATGGCAGTACTCTCCTTTCTCCTTGGTTGCACAAGGATGAAGAGAGGGCTCCACCTAGGAAAGCAGAAAAATGATGGTGTGTGTTTTTTCTGATGATGGCAAGCAACAAGGTTAGTAGGGAATAGAGGCTATGTAGAGGGCAGTAGCTGTGGGGGCTTCCATTAGGACGTCAGTAGTTGCCCTAAGGCAACTGCAGAGGTGAACTTGTCCACGCAGCCCCACCTGCTGGACAAAGGGTGAGTGGCGCTCCCCTCCAAGATCACTCCGGCCTCATACACATCTGCCTTCCTGGAAGGGATCAGAAGCAGTTCTATCCTGAATGAGGCCTAGCCTGGTTACTACAAGTTTATGGAGTGGGCTGGGCAAGGATGGACATTTGGAGAAGGATGAGATGGAATGCAGTTTATTTTGTTGGTGTATGCAAGGAAAAGAGTAAGGAATATGGTCATCAAATGAGATAACGTCAGGTTAAAATTAGACTCTGTGGGGGACTTTGAAAAGTTTGTAGAAAAATGGAATTAAAATATGAGTTCATTTTGGTGCAAAAAAACTTGAAATCCATGATAATTTTTTTAATAATAAAAATATTATTGACATGTCAATGAATTTTTGAAGAAACCCCCACCAATGGTATATATTTAGTTGCTTTGTTGACATACATGCACTCTAAAATTCTGTGATAAACTATGTTAGGAATAGCGGTATTATGTGAAAACGTTATTTTTGTTGTTGTTGTTTAGGTTTTTGCTATAGGGTGCATGTGCTCTCAGGAGAGAGAGACAGAGACAGTGAGAGAGAAAGTGAGAAATCACCCCCTAGGGGAGATGGCCATGCCACAATCCCTTCTCCTCCATTCTTAGGAATTTTGGGCACATGTGCACATGCGCCTGGTGTGATTTTCAAGGGGCCGGGCACAGGACCTGAACTGTGGTTGGCCATGTGGGAGTCCAATACCTTAATCATCATGCTACCTGCTGGCCCTGCCAACTGAGATTTTAAAGCAATTTTCTTTCTTTTCTTGTTTATAGACAAAATAGAATGAAATTGATTAATATTCTGATTATTAATAAGACATTGTTCTTCATGGTTCTTCTGAAGCAAGGAGTAATCTTTAAACTGACACCCTCGAATAATACACACATAACATCCTAATGCCATTACACTTAAATAATTCCTTACTGTAATGTGTTGTGCACTGTCAGACTTTCTCCAGACGTCTCATTTCATCTTCACCATGTGCCTAGAAAGCCAGTATTATTATTCCCATATGATGGATGAAGTCAGAATGCTCAGAAAAGCTAAATAACTTGACCAAGGTCATATAAGTGGCAAAGGATAGAGCCCTCCTAAACTTTTTAATTGATTAATTTTTAGAAATTCATTGTTTTTCATGATAGTGAGTACATGCATGTGCACGAGAGAGAGAAGAGAGGTACAGAGAGGAGCACCCTGAATGGGTCTGGTCACATTGTGACCCCCTTCTCTAGCCCTCCAGCTTGTTAGGGTCTTGGGCAGGTGTGCATGCCTGGCTTGTTTTAGGCTGACCAGGCCAGGGAGCCAAACCTCAGTGGGCTTTGTGGCCTCCAGCACTGAAGTTCAATATGCTACCGACTACCACAGAGGCTGGGCTGCTAAACTCGTTTAAAACATCTCTTCTTTGTGTTCACTTTTTAAAACATTATAAACACACTGCCTGTGCTGGTCAGAATGGCCATAAATTCCAATTTACTCTCCTTTCTATGCCAGTGTTGGGGATTTTTTTTTTTTGCAGAGTTAGTTCACCTTTAAAAATACCCATCTATTATTATATGTTAAAAAAAAAAAACATAATTTAAGATCCCAAATTATTTGTTCCACTGAGAGAACTTAAAATTTAAGATTTGCTACACTGATACAGTTGGCCCTCTGTATGAATCTTACCCAGAGGTTTCGAACCTTTCTTGCTCAGTGGAGATACAGTAGGCCTTTCTTAGCGATGATTTCACTTTCTGCAGTTTCAGTTACCCATGGTCAATCACGGTTCAAAATTATCTGAGTATAGTACAGTAAGATATTCCGGGAGAGAGAGACAGCACATCCATACAACTTTTATTACAGTATATGGTCCTAAGTGCTGTATTTTGTTATTAGTTATTGTTGTCGATCTTTCTCTATGCCTAATTTATAAATTAAACTTTATTATAGGTATATACAGGGGAAAACATAATATAGATTGTGTCTGGTTCTATTAATATCAGCAGTTTCCAGTATCCTGTGGGGGTCTTGGAATGTACCCTTGGTGGATAAAGGAGGACTGCTGTACTTCACGGTTTCTGCAGAGGGAGGAAGGGAAGCTGGGAGAAATGAGAGATGCATTTATTACTCAGCAGATATTTGCCGAGAGTCTGTGCTGTGCCCAACACTGCACTGGGCCGAAAGAGCTCCATGTACCTCCTGCTCTAAGAGGACATGGACCTGTCGTGCACTAACCATTAGGCCCAGCTGTCACTCAGGCAGCAGTGCTCCAGACAACAGAACCCCAGTGCGAGGTGCTGGCACGTTTACTCTATGCTCACACACCCACTCCAGTAGCTCACTCGACAGCCAAGTGGAGGAGAAGATGGAAAGCCACTGATACAACTCAGTGCTGTTGTTTTACACAGCGGGAAACCGAGGGTCTATGATGGCAGCCGAGCAGCAATGGATGTCTTCTCTCATCAGCTCATGGTGTCCTCTAGAAATGGGGGCCAGAGAGAGAAGGCAGCCAGCTTCCTAGTGATCTGAGCACAAATTTCAGTCGAACTTCCTGGTTAGGAAGTAGGAGTAGAAAGTTAGAATCACCCCAAAGAGTCCCTCCCCATCTGGTTAATGGAGCTTTGGTCCCTCTGAGCTATGCCTTGCACCCACCATTCACTCTTTGGATGAAGCTGCTGATCATCTTTTTTCATGTTAAATCTCCTATATTCTACAAATGACCTTATGAATAAGATGATAGGGCCAGGACCAGTAGTTGGTGTAATGGCTATGTTGCTGGACTCCCACATAGTTGACTGCGGTTAGAGTCCCAGACCCAGTGGCTTAAACTCATGCCGGGCACATGTGCATGTGTGCCCAAGATCCTGAGAGAAGAATGGAGAAGGGATTGAGGTGTGACCATCCCTCCTGGAAGGTGATTTCTCACTTTCTGTCTCTCTGTTTCTGTCTTTCTGGCGAGCATATGCGCCCTATAGCAAAAACCTCTCAAAAAAAAGAAGATAGGGCCTGGGGTTATATTTTACTAGTTGTAGAGTTCCCATTTTATGAGACGAAAAGAGTGTTGGAGATGGATGGTGGTGATGGTTGCACAACAGTGTGGCCATACTTTATGCCACTGAACTTAAAAACCGTCAGAGCGGAGGGACCAGCAGATCGCGAAGTGGTTACATTGCTGGACTCCCACATGACTGACCGCAGTTCAAGTCCTGGACCCGATAACTTGAAAAATCACATTGGGCACAGGTGCGTGCATGCCAAAGATCCTGGGAGGAGAATGGAGAAGGAATTGTGGCGTTGCCATCCCCCCTGGGGAGTGGATTTTTCACTTTCCCTCTCACTTATCTTTGTCTCTCTTTCTCTCCAGTGAGTGCATGCACCCTAAGGCAAAAACCTCTCACAGATCAAAATAGAGTGGAAAATTTTATGAGTATTGCACTCCAATTTTTAAAAAGTTACCAACCCAGCTGAGGTGGTGCAGGAGAAGGGGCGCACTGCTATGCAGTGCTGGAGGGAGGGTCCAGGGTTTGGATCCGAGTATTTGCAGGGCCCACCTGCAGGCATGTGGTGATCTTGTCTGACTGGATAGCGAGGGGAGGATTGCAGCATGGCAGGGTTCTGTCGGGGATCTCTCCCCCTCTCTCAATAAACAAATAAACACTTAAAAAAGAGGATTATAGGGTCTGAATGAGCCATTTCTTTTCATTATTTATACAGTTAGTCCAAAAAATCATAGCCACAGTGTCACTTAGTCTATCTGCTGCAAATACTGTGTGGTCCTATTGTATTAATGCCCCATGTGGTAGACATAAGGAGGAGGGGGCATGGGACCCCTTCCCAGCTGTCTAGTTAGGGAAACCAGACCAAGGCGAAGAGACATGCAAGAGTGAACAACAGGAGATAAAATGTCTAAGACCGTAAACTTAGGTAAATGCAGAGAGTGAACAAGAAATGCTTGTGCTTTTAAAATACCGGATCAGCTTGGTATTAATTTAGCATGAAGAATGGTATAGGAATTGGATAAAACATTAAAAGCACAAGGCACAAAATTTCCTTTGTTTTGAAATTTCAAAATTGGTTTTCATTCAAGTTTAACGTCGGGAATTCCATGGACATGAGGCAATGGCTAGAATGAGGCCTGCTTGGCCCCTGGAAGCTCTTGATGTCCCTGTCCATTGGCTCGTTTTGTTCCCCTTTTCCTGTCCTTCACTTCCTGGAAGTGGTTGAAAGAAGGCTCACTTCATGCTCTCTCCTCTCCAGGGTAAAACGAAACGGAGGCCTGATACTCACCCGACGAGTAGAAGACCTGTGGGAGCTCCATCCGTCCTTCGACATTGTGGTCAACTGTTCAGGCCTTGGGAGCAGACAGCTCATGGGAGACTCTAAGATTTTCCCTGTAAGGGGCCAAGTGCTCAAAGTTCAGGCTCCCTGGGTGAAGCATTTTATCCGAGAAGGGAGTGGGCTGACATATATTTACCCTGGTGCATACGACGTCACCCTGGGTGGAACGAGGCAAAAAGGAGACTGGAATCTGTCCCCAGATGCAAAAATTAGCAGAGATATTCTCTCCCGATGTTGTGCTCTGGAGCCTTCCCTCCACAGGGCCTGCAGCATAAAGGAGAAGGTGGGTTTGAGGCCCTCCAGACCTGGAGTGCGCCTGCAGAAAGAGCTTCTGGTCCAAGATGGCCGGAGGTTGCCTGTGGTCCACCACTATGGCCACGGGAGTGGAGGCATCTCGGTGCACTGGGGCACTGCTCTGGAGGCCGCCAGGCTAGTGCGTGAGTGTGTCCTTGCCCTCAAGACCTCTGCCCCCAAGTCAAAGCTATAGATGACATGAAATGACACTCAGTGGCTTTGGAAATTATTGATCAAAGCACAATTTAAGCACAGAACACATTCAAATACATTTTCTATTGTGAGAAAGTTTAAACAGTTCTGTTTTCAAAATTACAAATAATGCAATATATAGACTCAAGAAGCCTAGAACTAACCACATAGTGCCTAAAACTCCATTTTTCTTGTTTTGGTGGATAAAATATTTGTTATAGAGCAAGATTTAAAAAAAGAAAAAAAAAGTCTGATGGCCAAGGATCGGTGCTAATTTCTGTGAATGCTGGATGCTGGAAACCATTGGAATTTTGATATTTATTGGTTCATAAATTCTAGGAGGAGATAATGTATGGAGGACACCTATATCACTGCCAATTGTAGAACCACCCGTGACCCTCCCAGATTACAGCCGCATGATCATTATAAACCCTCTGAATAAAATGACGTGGTGATCGCACGATGGAGACTTAACACATTTAATTGAAGACAAAGTATGGTTACCACTAGTACTGGCAGCAACCTCTTCCGCCCCTCAGCCGATGGTGATGGTAGAAGACAGAGATGAAGGAAGCCGCCTATGGATGTGGCTGTCAGCCACCTAAGGGTTGTGTACTTCATTACCATGATCGAGTCCTGGCTTGCTGCGTGGTTGGCTTTGCCTAAGTGCTTTTGAAAACTGAGTCACATGCAGCCAAAGAGCTAATTTGCTAATTAAGGTAGAACAATCATTTGAATGAAATACAGCCAAAGTATTCTGCAAGTTATTACAAAGTATAGGGGCAGAGGTAATGTGTCCTGTACTAAAAGTAGTTGGGGAATTGCTGAGTTACATAAATTCAACCTGTTTTGTTTTGTTTTGTTTTGTTTTGTTTGACTCAGGTCTTCTCAAAGCCTTGAATACACAAGTATTTAAAAAATTCATGGAAAAAGGAATTAAAGTATCAATTTATTTTGGTGGGAAAAAAAGTTTAAACTCCGTGGATAGTATCTTTATAATTTATATTTTCCACGTACTTTTTGAAGACCCCCCCCCATATGTCCATGTGAATTGTGAGTCCTCAGGAGGGTTTTGGCTTGTGCAAATGGTAAAGAGGGGCCATTCATTAAGGGAGAATTGAAGAGAAATGGATTTTATCTTCATTTTATTTTTTGAGGAAGATGACTTATGTTCAGTAATAATAAGTTCTGTTTTGGATATCCAGGGTGAGATGTGAGCTTGACGATGAAATTTGTGAGAAAAAGACAGCTCAGCACAGCTTACTTAACAGTTACCTACAGAACAGTTACTGTTTTGCTCGTTGAGAATTTGAATATGCATTTGTTTGAATGGGACATTCTGCTGGTAGAGAGAGAGGTGCATCCATACTGGACGATCTTTTTTTTTTGGAGAGGTTTTTGCTATAGGGCGCATGCACTCGCCAGACAGAGAGAGAGACAGAGAGATAGAAAGCGAGAAATCATCCCCCCAGGGGGGATGGCCACTCCGCAATCCCTTCTTCTCCATTCTCCTCTCGGGATCTTGGGCACACACGCACACACGCACACACGCCCGGTGTGAGTTTAGTCACTGGGTCCAGGACATGAACTGCGGTGGGAGTCCAGCGACATAGCCATTATGCTAACTGCTGGTCCCCATACTGGATGATCTTAATCGTCCCTTGCAGTATCCACATTCTCTAGTTAAATGAAGTGTGGAGTGTTTTCTATAGACTTCCACCAGGGGGTGGTGGTGTATCAAATTCAGAAAAAAAATGGTGTCTGAAAATTCAGAAATGACTAGAAACAAAAAATGGATACGAGGTGTGTGTAATTTTTGTTTGTTTTTTGAGGTTATGCCTCAAATGCAATTTTTCAGAATTCTGTTAATAATATTTAAGAAATGTGTAGTTTAGATAGAATGCAAACACATACAAATCATGCATAATCTATGAGAAATATGATAAAATGGCAATTTAAAAGGGGGAAATCGATTTTTTTAATGGTTAAAAATAAAGATGAAGAAGCTTTCCCAGAAAAGGTAGTATTTCGGTTGCTTTTCAGCAGTTTTACGTGTACTCACTTGTTCCTTTTGCCTATGGTTTGGTTCCTGCCATACTTTCACTTTGTATAGAAAGGCTCACACACTCCAACCTTTGCCTGTTCATTTCTCTAGTTTAGCTTCACCCTGCCTTTTGTACATCTAAAGGTCAATATTACAAGACTGAAAGACTGGCAGCTTTTGGAGAAAGTGGTCATGGTTTCATGCCCTGATTTCACGTTCCCTGATTGTTAGATATTTGCTCTCGGAGTATCTCAAAGGTTATTCATTTTGGTCAGTAACTGTCTATCTGTTTTGTTTTGTTTTGTTTTGCCATAGAGACATAGAGAGGGAAAGTGACAAATCACCACTCCCCCCAATGGGAATGGCATGCCACAATCCCTTCTCCTCCAATCTCCTCTAGAGATTTTGACCACACATGCATGTACACCCCATGTGATTTTCAAGCCACCAGGTCCAGTGCTCAAACTGCGGTCGACCATAGGGGAGTCCAGCACTTTAACTACTACACCACCTGCTGGCTCCTGGGCTGCACCTTAGAATCACTTGAGTTTTGGAAAAATACTGATGTCTAGTCCTGCTTCGTTGAACTCTTTGGTGGTGGACTGAGCTGTGGCATCAGTACTCTTCAAAGCTATGTACAGGGTTCTAGCTGCCAGATGGGGGCTGAGAACTCTGAGCACCATTTTCTCCTCTCTTCATGTGCTCCAGTGCTACTATCACCACAACCTTCTCTTCTTTCCTCGCCTCCTTGGTGCATCAAGCCAAGAGAGATGAGCTCACTGACTGGGCGTGTCCTTATGCACTTCCAGACAAGGTGGCCTATGGGAATGAACTGTGTCCCAAAGTGGTTCTCTAGAAATGCTGGGAATCGCCTTCTCATATAGTTGGCTGGCCAGAGACAGCTGTCTGTCTTTGTCTGAAAGGTGGAGACTGAATATATAATGAACAATGGCCAGACCATATATAAAAATAGAACCCTGACCTACAATCTGCAGCAACCTGCTCAGGAAATCAATCCTCTTATCTGCAATAAACAACAGAGGAAGCCAGCCTGCTGTATGTCAGACTCGCAGGAAGTCAGATTGCTATCTCTTGTGACAATCCAAAAAGCTAAACAGTAACTTCTGTAACAATTGATGCAAAATGACCGGGACTTGATTAATAATTGATAGCTTCCCTAATTTTTATCCTTACTTCTAACTTAGGATAAACAAATCAGAGAAAGCAAAATATGCACCCTTAATACATCATACAAGATGCCCTGCTTCTAGTGAACTCACCTAGAGCTTCCCCATGCTGCCAGCCTCCAATCTAAAATCTCTTTTTTCTACAAAGCTTTCTCACTTAAATGCCTGCCTTTGAGTCTCTGCCAAATGCAAGTGATGATGGCTTGATATAGCAAGCTCTAAAGAAATAGCTTTTGCTTTTCTCATGTGGTTGATGTATTAGTCAAGGTTCTTCAGGGAAACAAAGCCAATAGGATATATGTAGTTAGAGAAAGATTTATTGTGAAGGGTTGACTCCCATCATTATGGAGGCTAAAAGTCCCATGGTCCGCAGTCTGGAAGCTGGAGACTCAAGAAAGGCAGTGGTTTCAGTTCTAGTCCAAGCCTGAAGGCTTGAGAACAGGAGGAGCCAATGGAATAAGTCCCAGTCTGAATCTGAAGTCCAGGAGCGCTGGTGTCTGAGGGCAGGGGAAGATAGATGTCCCAGCTCAAGCACCGAACAATGTTTCCCTTATCACCTTTTTTTCTGGCTGCTGTTCAGGTTCTCAACAGATTGGGTCATGCCTCCCACATCGCTGAGAACAATCTTCTTTACTAGGTTTATTGATTCAAATGCTTATCTCTGCCAGTCACATCTTCACAGACACACCCAGAAACAGCATAACATTTTACCGGCAATCTGGGCACCCCTTAGCCCAATCAGGTTGACACATAAAAATAACCATCACAGCTTGCTTCATTTATTTCCACAAAGACTTCATGTTTCTATAAATTGACATCTTTCTTGGAGATCTAAGCAATGCCTGAGGGTGGACTACATTTTTTTCTTTTCTGTTTTCTATTTCAGAGCTTTTTTTTTGCCTTTTTTTTTTTTCTGAACATGAAGAACAACTGATTTTCCCCTGGAGTCCTCACTTCCAGGTGTCTGACCTTTGTGGCTGAGTCTGCGCCTGCTGTGCCTGTGCCCAGGGGAAAGAGGCTGGTTTCAGGCACTGTCCCTGCCAGCACGGTTTCTGTTTTCTATTTCAGAGCTTTTTTTTTGCCTTTTTTTTTTTTCTGAACATGAAGAACAACTGATTTTCCCCTGGAGTCCTCACTTCCAGGTGTCTGACCTTTGTGGCTGAGTCTGCGCCTGCTGTGCCTGTGCCCAGGGGAAAGAGGCTGGTTTCAGGCACTGTCCCTGCCAGCACGGTGCCTCTTCAGCAGACAAAGGTTATGCACACACTTTGGGGATTTTATTAGCTTAGGGGAAAAAAGGAAGTTAAATGGAAAGGTCATAGCCCAGTTGGACACAGTTGTATAGAAGAAAAACTATTTTTAAAAATGACATATTTTTCCTTTTATTAAATAGATGCATTCAAATCAGTTGATATTTGAACCAATTTTTCTCAATCACTTCAGAGCGTTTGGAGAGAAGGAAGGAAAGGCTTGTGTGACTTGTGTCTGCTGAGAGTTGTAGTTCTTAGAAAACTGTGCCAGCACTCTCATAACTTGTCAAATATTTGAAATGAATGTAGCACTTGTAGTATTTTTCCTTGATTCCTCTCATCTTTCTCCTTGAGGATGTGAGTGATAGAGACCCATTTGAAACCTGTTTCCCCAGGATATCATTCACCCAAGAAAAGCTGATTGAGACGTTTAAGTGGTCCCTTTCTTTGAAAAATCTCAGCAGGCCTGGGGGCTTTATTATATTAAGTGACTTTGCTGCCTATAAATCACAGCCCTAAGTAGCCAAAGGGAGTGAGTTAACCAGATCCCTTACAAAGTATAACCAATGTTTCTTCAATTATTAGCAGAACAATTGACTTCCACCTGCTCAGGGCACTTGCCAACCTGGCCTGTAGCCATGGCACCCACAATGCCACCTCCCACAACCTGTTCCCTGTCCGTCATGGTTTGTTACTCTGATGCATGTTCTACAGTTTCCACCTATCCCCCAATTTTTTAAGTATTCTAGAACTTCCTGTCCATGCTTCCAAGAACTTTTAGAACTTCCAAGTCGCCTGATAATAGAACTCAGTCACTGTGGTCAATATTCCAAAAAGTCTTCTCCCCAAGCCCCTTTCCTCAGAAATCTACTCATATCTGTTGGGCTCACTATAGAGGCAGAATTCTCAGTGTCCTGCCTCTCTGGTCACAGATTATTGGTATATATTAGTAAGGTTAAGATTCGCTTGGAAGAAAGAGAATTCCCCAAGTATTTGCTTAAGCAAGATGGGCACGTATTTCTCCCTCATGTAAAAGGGCAGCTGGGTGGGTTGCCAATGATCATTTGGGATCCAATCTCCTCCTTACACTGTTTTCCCAGGGCGTGGCCCTTGTGCTCATGGTATAAAATGGTAGTCATATTTCTAGCATCATCATCACATCCACCCCCAAGGAAACTTCCAGAAGACTCACATAAAACTTGTGCTTCCACTGTATTTCACTGCACAAGATTTAGCCTCAAAGGAAGCTGGGAACAGTAGTCTTTTGGCTTGGTGGCAATGTAGAGGTCATGCTTTTAGCAGGCTCTGCTGTAGTTCTCAAATTATAAATTGAGTTAAGCCAGTCAGATTAAGAATTTGTACTGAGAGCTTCTAAAGTTAGTTCCTGATGATTGCAAACTCTGGAGATATGTAGACTGGTGCTTGACCATCCATCCAGGCTGTCTGGGTTTATACAGGGGTAGCCAGGCC